AGCAGAAGCTCCACTTTGTGCTTTTTCGAGCTTATTTCCTTGTCAAAGTCAGTGAGCCACTTACGAAAGATGTCCCCCGTCAACCATGCCTTGGTCTTTTGTGTGTACGCTACTGGCATTGAGAGCACCTTGGCGAAGCCCTGGGGTTTCTTATGCTTGCCGATGAACAATAGGGGTCTCTTGTCTGTGTCATCCATGTTTGCGCACACCAACACTGATGCGATTTTTGCTGTTCTTTCCTCCCATGCATTTATCAGTTTTCACCGCAAGAGTTTTTGCTCGCAGTAATTGAAAAAACAGCCCTGTTTAATGAAGGTTGTAGATATCTTTCTCGGTGTATGTGTCAAGAATGCGGCAACTGTGCTTCTCCATCCAATGCTGGAGACTGTCCTCATCAACGGATGCAGCTTCACCTACGATGTTTTTGTACGTGATGCCATGGCGGTCTTTGAATTACTGCAACCATCCGTTGCCTGGATCAAGCTTCTCATGGCCGAGAACAAGCCCAGGACTTTAGGCGTGCGCAAACAGGATTGGTCCACGGAGAGGGACGTTCTTTGCGTGAGAATCTACAAATCGTTTGTACAGCGTCGTTGCCAACGTTGTCGTCCGAAACAGCATCGATTGTGCTGGAATTCTTTATGATGGTCACCAAATCGGACTGGGCTATGCCATACTTCCGCGCAGTTTCGGTCTTCTTGATTTTCTAGCAAAGTTTATTCAAAATGGCACGTATCACATTGAGGGAAAGCGCCTTTTATTTGGCTGTAGAAGAGGTCGACGTTCTAGGTATCGGTGGACTCAACATTGTCGAAGAGTTCGTTGGTGCACAGGGAAAGCCAAGCTGTTACCGTGGGAAGGTCCAAGTGTGCGTCGATGACCCGGTTTTCACCAATGAACAGAGCTGAACAAGCATACGAGTGCTTCTGCTGTTCAAACTGTACTGGTTTGTCTGCGTACGTGAACCGTGCCAACCACGCGAACAAGCAAGACAGGCTTAGGCAGAGATTGCTGGTGGCGCCACACTGTGGAAAAAAGAAAGCGATTTCTTCACTTTTTCATCACGATGCAGCACTACAAGTGCAATTGAACTGGCGTGGCTCCATGGGTGGCCCTAAGGTCCAAATAGGGGGGCGGCATTCGTGTACAGCAAGCCAGACGATGTAGTACGCAGTGTAACGAGATAGGATAGCAGCAACCCGGCGATCGGCTAGCCTGGCACTGGAAAAAAGAATGGGGAGCATTCGCTTGTTTTTGCAACAGTGACCGGGCAACAGTGTGATGCAGCGAAGCAAAAGGGCAAAAGCCCCTTTGAAAGGGCAAATCATGCAGGGTGATGCCGCCGAAAGCCAAGAATTTGCTGTTTTTCGACCGTTTTGATTAGTGCGAAAGCTCAAAAAGATGTTTTATTGCATTTTTTTTTCTTTTTCTCAAAAAAGTGCTTCGCTATATCTGCTGAGGTGGGTTGATATATTTCGTTAAAATTGGACTTGGAAGGCATTGAAAATGCAGAAATCTGAATGAGAAATCAATATTGCTTTGTTGTAACCACTATTTCGCTGTAAGTGGGTTCGTTATAAATTCGCTACACTGTAGCTAAACACAGTGTTGCCTGCCAATACATTCAGCTCATGAAAAGCATATAAGAGAACCACTGCACACTAGCAAGCATACCAGTGGATTTCGAACGTGATGCTATGCATTGATAAGCGTTGTCATAGTGGGCACAATACAAGAGACTGACTCAAGCGAGTAGTGTTTGCTAAGCACACCAGTGCTCTGGGTGCCACCTCATGTGTGGATGCATGAGAAAATGAAATGGAAAATGAAATAAAGAGAACCATCGGTAGAGACTGGAAGTATAAACATAATACTGTTTTGATGTTTTTGAAGGTAATGACATGTGTAGGTTTTATTTGTTGAAATGCAAACAAACAATAAGGTGAGAATGTTTTTGCAATCGTAAAATTGGCCAATGGTTGTGTCACTCTCGTCTGCTACAAGTGGGTCCAAACTGCAATATATTTTTTTATGGGGAGAGCAAGCGAGTTTCGGCTGTCTCTTACAAGCAATCGTAACTACCCTCCTGCAAGCATTGCCCCAATATCGGGCTGGCAGGAGCCGTGATAGCATAATCATAAAGCGCTGTTGGTATGTTGAGCAAGTGTTGCAGGGCTGCTTTAACAATGGAGTTGTGCCTTTGAGTAACAATTTAGTCTAAAATGTTAAGTGCTTGTTATGAAGGCTTCTTGTATGTGCTCTAGATAGTTTCCATGTGCCTAATATTACGAGGTTTGTTTTTGTTCATCTCATGCAAGTTGATTTTTAAGAAAGTTCTTTTTACCTATTTACTTCTGTTCCTGAAGAAAAAAGTGTTTCTGACTAAACCAGGTATCGGCGGCTAGTGCACAATTAAAGAATCGCAACATATCCACCGAGTAAATGCTGATGAGTGGGGCGAAGCGCTGGAGGGTTTCATCGCTAAACTGTGAACCATCTGCGAATATCGCTCACTACATCAGATGTGATAAACACTCTATATATTTTTACAAGAAATTTTATTATTCATAAGACGTAGCTATACGTCACTTCCGTTCCCCCCTTTATTATAATGGCTTTATTTTCAGTGAAGTGGTGGATTGGTGATGGGGCGTAGTGGGATGTTTGCAATTACTAAGTAGTGGGCAGTTTGCAAAGGTGGAACTATTGATTGATTTGTGGGGTTTAACGTACCGAAACCACCATATGATTATGAGAGACGTGGTAGTGGAGGGCTCCGGAAATTTCGACCACCTGGGGCTCTTTAACGTGTGCCCAAATCTGAGTACACGGGCCTACAACATTCCCGCCTCCATCGGAAATGCAGCCGCCACAGCCGGGATTTGATCCCGCAACCTGTGGGTCAGCAGTCGAGTACCTTAGCCACTAGACCACCGTGGCGGGGCAAAGGTGGAATTATAGGCAGTCACGTACAAACAAGGAATAGACACCGTGGGACAATCTATGGCTCCTTAACTCTCACCTGGATACAAGTACATGACCATCTTGCATTTCATATTAGGTATTTCTCATCAGTATTTGCTTTATGGTCATTTTGCATTTCATATTGGCTACCTCTCAACAGTATTTGCTTTATGGGCAGTGAAGTGGTGGATCGGTGATGGGCCGTAGTGTGATGTTTGCAAGGACGAAGTAGTGGGCAGTTGGCAAAGGTTTAACTATAGGCGGTCACTTACATGCATACAAGGGATGGACAGACCCACGCCTTTAGGAGCTTCTCCCCTAAAAAGGAAAACAGTATAAAGTTTGCAGTTAGTTTGTATATGAGAACCTGTTCGGCGATTTGACAATTTAGTCTTGAATGGCTTAGTGGTTTAGATGAGGTTATGTTATTTATTTTGGTATGTGTATGCTATTGTCTGGTGATTAGACAACTAGTACTGTCAAATGGGACTGTTTAAGTGACATCACAGGCAAAAATGAATGCTAATACGTGTGGCTGCTGCATTTTTGAAGAGATAAGGAAAGTTTGCCTCAAGTTTGGTGCTTAGCAAACCAAAAAAGTCTTTCGGAAGGATGGGATACCTGCAAACCTCGGGATAAAAATTGGTGAATATGCTACATTTGAGGGGAAAATGAAACTTGTTCTTAGCAGAATTTATTTGATTTAGTCAGTTAATTAAAATTCATGCAAACGTATAAAAGCTATATCCTGAACGAGCTACTGTGGTTGAAACGTGCTCATAATTTATGACTAGGGCATCGACTGCACCTAAAAAACCTCTATATATATGTACAGTGTTAATTTTTATGAAAGGAAACACGGGAGCGTGTGGCCTGCGCGCTTTGGCATCTGCTGGCAGCGCGTTCATGTGGGAACGAGAGCAACCACAGTCTGTTTTTGCGTCATCTGATGGTGAGCAAAACAACCATTCGTTGCCAATATACAACGGCATGATTGCAACTCCCTCCCCCTTGAAGGCGATTACGCGAGAGCCAGTAATCGCCTTGAAGGAGGGGGGGGGGGGTGCAATCTTGCCGTTGTATATTGGCAACGAATGGTTGTTTTGCTCACCGTCAGATGACGCAAAAACAGACTGTGGTTGCTCTCATTCCCACATGAACGCGCTGCCAGCAGACGCCGGAGCGCGCAGGCCACGCGTCGCCGTGTTCCCTTTCATTAAAGTTGACACTGCGCACATCTGACCTTCTTAATTTCACCACAAGCCATCAATTTTTTTTTAAAATAGTGTCGTCCTGATAAATGTGCTTGTGTTTTCAATATTCGTTAACTACTGAAAGTTGAATGTGAAAGATTCTTTCAGAAGAAATACAGTGCAGTTTATAACTTGCTGTGAGGGAACTTTCACTGGCAAGGTGTGTAACCTTGTGTCCTTTGATTTGTACAATATATATGTGTACTGTGACATCCTACAATGCAACAGTTGTTGTACATTCGATGCACTAAATTAAGATATCTTTTCTGGTCATGCATGCCACTGTGATGCATCTGCTACTGAGCTGTTGTAGTTGTGCCCCACATTAACTTATTCCTAAGGGGACAAAATATTTTTAAGGACCTTGATATGTGAAAGAACTAAATTGGTGTTCACTCTTTTTCAAAAAGGCTATTCCTTTCTTGTGCATGTTGTGTTACTATAGTTGCTTTCTTTCTGTTGTTTGGAGAGTTCCCTGCAAGGTGTCTCAACAGTGCCTGTCTCGGCAACTCCTATGCGCTGCACAAGTGTAATGCTGATTCCTACAGATTCTTCAGCGTGCTACAATGTTATATTGGCCCAGTGTAGCTATTAGATTTCATCTGAGCAGTTATAGTTATTCTAGATGCTAACTTGAATGATAACTTTTTATGAGAAGTAATTGTTATCAGTTCTGCTTAAAGTTGTAATTAGCTGCTGAAAGTCTTTATTTTTGTTTGAACATGTGTGTGAATGGAAGTAATGCTTACTTGTATTGATCTGATTTTTTTTTTACACTTGCAGGTGTTGTTGAAACGGGCCTTTTTGTTGGTATGGCACACAAGGCCTACTATGGATTAAACGATGGCTCTGTGAATGAGAAGAAAGCTCCATGAAACAGTTTTTCCAACTTGTTATATTTTTTATATACATATACAAAATTTAATAATGTACAGTGCATAGGTTAAGCTTCAAACAGTTCCTGGCAGTGCTGCTATATTGGCTGCTAGTCAACTTTGCCAATTTCAAGTTGCTGTTTGTGAGATAGCCAGTGACACATGCTACTGGTGATCTTGCAATATTTTCGAGGGATCATTTTCATTCTCCTATGATGTAGAATAAATACTATTCTTTATAAACTGGTGCTGCTTTTGTCCTTAGTACTAATGCTAAAATTAATGCATGTGATGCCCACCCCCAAATCTAAGGTACTGGTTATTGTTTTCTTGTATGAATCTTGGAGTTACAGCTAGGAATGGTTGATATGTCTGTTAGCGCTTTGTTGTTTGTGGAAAAAGTGACACTTTTCGGTGGTCCAACAATATAGTTTTTGCCATTAGCAGAATGCAGGTGCTCCTTCGTGGCTCAATGGCCAACGCCTCGCACTCGCAAGCCATTAGCAGAATGCAGGCCATATTAAAGTGTGTAGTACCGATTGAAAGAGAAAAAAAAAATCCTTACTCTGGTATTGTACCAATGAACATGTTTACTAACTTAACTGCAAAAAAAAGATACAGTAACTATATCAAATATATCTGCATTTGTCATGTTGAGCAGAAATTTATCAAGAGAGAGATAGAGTGAGAATTTATTAGAAGACAAGAGAGCTCGGCCTGAGTTAGTTCGCTCTAGTCTGTTACTCTACACAGGGGATAAGGGGGAAAGAAAGAGGCATGAAGTATGATGGGGACAGCAAGAGGTGGTGTGTATTTACAGTTGCCACTTCGCATAGCACCCTACAGCCTAGTATATAGTCGGGTGCTTTTGATGAAATTTAAAACAGCCCTTGTAGCAGTTTTTAGCACTTTGGTCACTCATTGCTGACAGAATCTAGCTTTCATGAAGTGCCATTGTCCATCTGATGCTTGCCAACGTTGAAGTTGGCATTTTCCTTTGCGTCACGTATAGTGGGCAGTCGCAAAATATATGGGCTAATGTTTCGCGCACTTGGCAGTGCTCACAGTTTAAGCTGTCTGCACGGCCGATTAGGTAGGCGAGGTGACGAGTGAAGGCGACGCCCAGGTGAAGACTAGCATGTCTTCGGCTGATTTTAGCCGAAAAACGAATAGTCATATTGGCGTCTGTTTCCCGCAGGTGCTTGTTTCGATGATCTGGTGGGGACCAATAAGTTGCCGCGCATGAGCGATCTCAACAATGTGTTGACGTCACCTCGCAAATATGGTACTTTGCCGTACATGGAAACATTGTATATACTGCCGCTCTTACTTCGCTCTAGGCCAGTTAATTGCCAACCAGGCCGCAGTATCCACGAACTCATTGGAGTGTAATAAAGAGACTACTTCTGTGTGTTATGTGGAGTGCTTGGACGCGTATCAACAGTTCTTCTGAGCTCCTCTGTGGCACACTCCGCATTGCGGTAAGTGGTGCAATGGGCAGATAGGCAACTAGCCATGGTCTTGTGAAAAATATAACTCCTTATGCTGCTGTTGGCTTAAGATGCCGAAACATAAGAGCAGCGTTTTTAATCTCCTGGTTGCCTTATAGTTGTAAAAGAAGTGCTTTTTATATTACGATTACGTTAGATTTGAAAAGGGCCCTTGAACCGCCTCCAATATTGTTTCAAACATTTCAGGTAAGCACGTGCGTCATGTGCAGAATGCCGGCACGATTGACGGTGCCACACGTGGCAATGCTACAAGCCGCGGGCGCGCCACAAATTCCAAGAAACAATCTCGTAGCGGGCTTTGCTGGCCGCTCTAGTGAAGTGTGTGACGTCACGTTGAATCTGTTTATGCGGGGTGCTGGCGGTGTTGCAGTTGGTCGAACAAGAACCTAGACGCAGGCGCTCCTTGTTCTTCGGCGTGTTGCCCACGTGTGCGCGCTTCGGGAACTGCGACACATAACGCAACTGCCAAAATGGCTAGTGTACCTGCACAGTCCCGCATAGTGATCTGATAAGCGGTGTGAACTAAATTCGACAGTGTTTTGCGATGGCTTTAATGCATCAGTGTGTGGTGCTTGGCGGCGAGAGCGCTGACTGGGAAAACGAAAAGAGGCGACCGGTGTTGTCCCGTGATGCGTGATGTCGCCTTGTGAAATGCCCATGGCTAGGGCGCGTCCGAGTCGCAGCAAAATGAAAGCGGAATAGTGTTTCACGTGTTTTTGGGCGTCACGTAACTGTCCAAGATTACCACCACGACCTGGGCTGCTTTTTGGCTTCGGTTCGATTGACCTCATTGACCTACTTCGGTCACTGCAACCGGATGTAGACGGTGCTTTGAACAGTGCGTCAGCGATGACATACACCAGGCGAGAATGGGAGGAGAACTCGGCGAAGAGGGAAAAATGGCTCTGAGAGGAGACCAGCCGACGAGCGGAGGGTAGCTAAGGAAAGAGCAAAATGAGCGATCGCCGCGTTTCGCTCATCAAGCGCATCTTACTCCGGTGTCACGGCACCATTGCGAGAAGTTCACATGGCAAAGTGGTTCGTTGTAGACTCGCGCCCAACTTCCCCACCTGAACTGAATTTGGATCTCTCGGTGGGTGAGGCGCATTTCATACCCAGGAAATTTGAAGTTGAAATCATTGATATCATGCTATCCATAGCATTGATAGGAATTGGTGCAAACAGGAAGCTATTAAGGAGAGTGTAAGGGCCTGCAGCAGCCCTTCCTTGCATTTATCCATGTTGTTGTTGTTGTTGTTGTCCTATTGTTAGTGGCGCATACCCACTATGGGGGACTGGCCAAGAATCGAGTGGTTTTAAAATTTACTGTTCAGATTTAGAATGATGGAGGTATAACAGAAAGATTACCGATAGCCTAGGAAAGTGTGGTGCTTAATGTAATGCATACAAATATTTACATAAACGAATTTATTCTTAGAGTAGCGCAATAATCTGATTTTATACGTATATAATTATGTGGACATGTTAGGATAATGAAACTGGTTAATTAGTCCACCTATTAGTTTCATCAATATAGTCCCGGACGGCCGCGCATACTGTCGCATTAGGGAAACCAGAAATGGAAGCTTCAAAAGACAAAATGACAGGCAGAGATAAGTCCATACCAATACCACGTAAAGGTATTCCTAATAGGGTTTTTCGTAATGTGCTAAACCGCGTGCAAGTCAAAAAGAAATGATCTATTGTTTCCAGTTCATCACAGAATGCACACAGTGGCGAAGGTGCCTGAGCAGACCTGTGTTTATAGAAATTTAGATTTGGTACCCGGCAACGCAGCCTTGTGATAGCTACTTCTTGTTTTCTAGTGCGGCAAAAGTTTCTTCGCCAGGGATATAATAAATGGCGATATTCTGTAGAGTTTGTTAGTGCTGAACCTTTAAAGACTTCCATAAGCGTGCGTCTGCGGAATCGAGCAGCAGTCACATAAGCGGGTGATGGACAGTGCGGTAGAATCGGTTCGCTGATTGACGACCTAGCTAAGGAATCGGCTATTTCATTTATAAATAAACCTTTATGTCCAGGCACCCAAACTAATCGTACTTTTCTCAAATGCGCAGGTACTAGTGCACGGAACGCCTTTGTTACGTGGTTATCAGCACCAACAGAAAGTGCCGCACAGAGAAATAGGGAATCTGTTATTATGACAGCTGATGTAATTGCTGTATCTAACTTGCGTAAGGCGAGCACTACTGCCAGAAACTCAGCCACAAAAACGGGTATGAAATCGGGTAGTCGAAGGGAATAAATCCAATTTTAAATCGGGCTGAAAATAATCTTGCAAGGAAACGTATATTTGCAGATATTTACGACGATTACACGCGACGACAATGCCTGGCACACTGGCGGGCGGGGACCAGTCTCTATCCATTTCGTAGTCTTTTCTTTCGGGCAGGGACCCTCTACCGCTTTATGCCCCAATCCCACTACTGCCTTGTGGCACTACCCCGCGGCGTTAAAGCGCCGACCCGGCGCTTGTCACGAAAGGGGAGTGTTGGGTGACACATACGGCTTCAGTCTTACGACGTGCACAACAGTGGATGGTGGTGGCATTGAGTGCGCTTCGTCGACGACTCGCTGTATCTCGTAGGTGAGGTTAGTGATCTTGCGCAGGACTTTGTATGGTCCGTCATAGCGAAATAAAAGTTTTTCTGAGAGGCCTATGTGACGACATGGGGTCCACAAGAGTACGAGAGAACCTGGTGCATACGAAACTTCGCGGTGGTGACGATCGTACCGATCTTTCTGAGAGGCTTGAGAAAGTGTGAGTCGTTCTCGGGCAATCTGTCGTGCTGCGTCGGCTCGCTCTATGGCATCGCGGACGTATGTGACAGGGGAGCTTGAACCAGCGGGAAGGAGTGTATCAAGAACCAGAGAGGGTTCCCGTCCATAAAGAATGTAGACCGGGGAATAGCCTGCGGTGTCATGTCTGGAGGAGTTGTAAGCGAAGGTGACGTAGGGTAACGTTGTGTCCCAGTCACGGTGATCTGGAGAAACATACATTGACAACATGTCCGTGATAGTGCGATTCAGGCGCTCTGTAAGTCCATTAGTTTGTGGATGGTATGCCGTTCTGAACTTGTGGTTCGTGGAATAGGAACGTACGATATCCTGGACGACGCGAGATAAAAAATATCGGCCTTGGTCGAGCTGTCGAGGAGCGCCGTGATGCAATATGATGTCATGCAGTAGAAAGTCGGCGACATCGGTAGCGCAGCTGGTTGGAAGAGCGCGGGTGATCGCGTAACGTGTCGCGTAGTCGGTCGCCACGGCAACCCATTTGTTCCCGAATGCAGAAGTGGGAAATGGCCCGAGAAGGTCGAGCCCTACGCGGTAGAATGGTTCAGCATGGATCTCAATAGGGTTAAGAAGGCCAGCTGGAAGCGATGTTGGTTGTTTTCGACGTTGACAAAGGTCGCAGCTGGCGACATACTTTTGCACAGAGCGATATAGGCGTGGCCAGAAAAAACAGCGCCGGACGCGATCATAAGTGCGGGTGATTCCCAGGTGACCAGCGGCAGGTTCATCGTGAAGCTGTCGGAGAACATCTGCACGCAAATGGGAAGGCACGACGAGAAGGCGGTCAGGACGATTAGGGCGCATGTTGTGGCGGTAGAGAACACCTTCATGAAGGAAATACAAGTTCAGAGAAGTGGGTGGAGTAGCGGAACTCAGGCTTTCTATGATGGAAAGTAAATCCGGGTCGCGGCGTTG